CGGTCGTAATTCGCAGCGCCATTAGGATTCGAAACGACACCTGGGAGGGCTTGAAATTCGCTCAGTGGGGAGCGATGATTTCTCTCCTTCCCTTCCAAGCTTTCTGTATCCCAACTGCTTCGTATCTCTGCATCCACCTTGGCTAATCATCCAGCGGTGAACCATGTCCTTCACAAGCAATAGAGCAGGACGTCCTAGATATTCGTTCCATGTACTGGGTGCCGAATTATATTCTTATGCACCTCCCGACGAAGGATGAGAGGATCGACACCCCTCCTCCTTGATGAATGAGTTTTTATCCCCAGATGTTTTGGAATGGGGTCAKGCTTCTGCTTTCYACTATCGTTCAGTCTTTCTTATACYTCATCGGGGTTGCGCCAACAGAACTCGCTCCCAATGATTGGGGAACCATAATGGTGCTAGCCATTCTCTAGCCGGAGCTTGGTAACGGCAAGGGGATGACCATAACCTTGCTGACTSTGTTGACCCGGATGAAGTCAATTTTGCGATTCCTAGGGATTTACAATCCGAGTTCTCGTCATGGGACACTCTTTAACCCACCGACCTCAAACAAACACTGAAAGGATCGTTCTATGTGGGAGGCGGGTGGTTGGTCGGCGATAGGCCTATCTGAGGGTGCGTGCCTAGCTGCTTTGGGGAGAACGGTGAGCATTCCTCCATTCCATCGTCGGTCTTAGTCACGACTTTCTCTCCCATTTTCTTTTCTTTTTTGTTTGAAGTTCTGGTTTCTCTTTTTGCAGCATTATCAAGTGGGGTGCTTTCTCCCTCATATGAGTCGATGAAGGTGCTATGAAAGATTCAGGAGATTCCCTTTACCTAGAGGGTCCCTACATTCATTGCCACGGACGAGAGGCTAGCACGTCATCGCCTCGTTAGGGATCTTAATGGGCCGACTCGTGGTAGCGACGACCTTCCTAACCCTGCTGGCGCTTCGACAAGTAACACCTTTTCTTTGAATAGTTCTGACGGGTCGATCATTTTTTTACCACTGAACCTTCGTGCAGCCTTGGGTCGGTTGTTCGTCCTATCCTAAGGATAAGGCAGGCTTCTCCCGACGGTAGCAGTAGTATTGAGAGTGCCTCATTTACCAGTGCGGCCATGACGATGTATTYCGAAGCCCTTGAGGTTGGGATTGACGGAGGGAGTTCTTTAGTTGATATATTGATCAACCTAGAGGAAGTAGCAAGCGCCACCACCTAGTGAGGTTGGGCGCGGCTGGCCCTTCTACGAGAGTGCGGGTCAACGAGCCCGCCTTTCAAGTTTCGGACGTCGTCGAGTCATCCTCGAGTGACGCTGTCTCCTCGGATCCTTCTGCCAGTGACCGTCAGGCAGTKCTTGTCTTAGATGCCGCGCTAAGCCTGGAGGATGGAGGAGGCGGGAAGAAGGTTGCCCCTACTGAAGATTTTTTAGCACCAYACCGAGGGGCGCTCCAGTTGGGTTTTGTTAGGGTYGACTTTTTACTGCAGAAACATGTGTCGGTAGCYCTGTTTGACCACGTTTGTGACCCATTTCCCATTATTATTTGCCAAAAAGGACCACATATTCTTAAAGTAAAACATAMATAGATTATTTTTGCATAAAAGTCAAACTATGGTACTTTAGGAAAAATATGAGATAAATGCGGTCAAAGTTGGAAGAAAATAACAGAATTCTGTCTTTTGCAGAATTGCGCCTGGCGCATTTTTGGAGGGCAATTTGTCAAAACGCACGTTTTGATTAATGAAAGGCAAGGACGACATTTCCCACATGTTCAAAACCGTGAGTCCAAGTCCAAATGAGGTGGTTAGGTGAATCTCAACCCTTTTCCACCTTAAATGGAGGGGAGTTTCAACCAACCTATGGTGATATAAAAGGAAGTCATCCATCCCTCAGCAAATCATTCCTTCTAAGCTTCATTTCATCTTCTTTTAGATGCTCTATAGTTGTAGAACACGTATTTAGGGTTTATGTTCATGTTCTAGTTGTTCATTTTTTTGTTTCTCACGCTTTTATCTTTTGTAGTGCTTTTCATTTGAGTTCTTACTTCCGTTCTTTGTTCATTCTGTTCTTTTAAAGTTCTTTAGCGAGTTTCAACTCCCCTCACGCTCGAGAGAGAAGAGGGTCAAGCTAGAACTCCTTGTATGGGTTATTTATTCATTTAAATTAAATGAAAAATACTTTCTTTATGTTTTCGTGCATTTACTTTCATTTAATCATGTTCTAAATTAGTTATCAACCTCCTTGTGGAATGCCTTAGTCAAATGATTTGATTTTCAACATGCTCGGGATTTTGGCCAGATTGCGTCTGGTACTTTTTTGGGTTGGTTTCTAAAAACTTCTCTTTACGTCTTTTTTCCATTTGGCCAGTGGGAACTTGATTTATACACTAAAGTCCAACCTTGGGAAAGGTGAGTTAGGTAAAATAATAGGAAACCAATATGGGATGTGACTTAGGAATAAACACATAAAATATGGTCCTAGGAATAGGCCCTCTGACCTGTAATGCAAATGAGTTGGTAGATATTCTCTAGGATTATAATCACACATAGGAATATGATTGTAGGTTACCCTAGCCTCTGCAGCAACAAAAGCGGTAGTGAAAGAGTAGAATTCGAATCCCAAGAAAAGTCAGGAATTGCGCCTGGTGCATTTTCCCAACATAGTTTGTTTTCCATCTTTTGCATCAAAACTAAGGTAGGAGACAAGGAGGTTGAGTTTCATTAAATTGCTTGATAGTTAAAACCCCAAACAACAACATTTCACCATTATTTTCTTTCTAAATCACAATTGCATATTTGAACTATTTCACTGAATTACTTGATTTTGAAAAGCAACAAGTCCCTGAGGATTCGACCTTGGATTACTTCCGAGTATTACTTGTGCCGTGTGCGCTT